TGTTCGTGTAATGCTCGAGTAACGCACACTTCCCATCGGTGCTCGCCCACTTCCCATTGATGCCCGCCTATTTATACAAGTAACGACCGTTTCTGGGTGCAATATTTGAACATTTGCCGTAGATTACTTGTAGGTCTTTGTCTCCAAGCCATCTCTCGTAATTGGTCACTACACAATGCTCCTCCGCTTATGACCACAAGCTTCAGCATACATGGCAAGCAGGATATTATCTTATCCACTGATAAAAGTAAAATCCAATGGTCAGGAACAAATATCCAAAACCAATGGACTTAGCAGCATCCATGTGAAAAAATACTACCACTCGGATATCTTTTGTCAAAAAACCAAACAAAAAAGAGGAGGGCAGTAGTACCAATAACAAATACACAGATTAAAACTGAAGAACTTGATGTGTTGAGCTCAATAAATCGATGTATTTCGGTAGCTCGTGTCTTTCCATGCCGATAATTCCGATAATTTGTTGATCAGAACAAATAACTTGGAGAAAAAGTGGGGTAAACTGTAGGGTAATCTTACCCTAAAATTTGTTGGTTAGCGAAGAAATTAACCGACCTTTAGCATATCGGTCATCATCGTTGGATCGGCCATTGGATTTTGCATTTGTGGCGGTCGTTCCATACCCTGTAAAAATTTGAGGTGAACAGAGAATAGCATAAGGTCAAGTATCATATATTCGTGATTTGATAATCCAACAATAATCTTTATTCATAATCATAATCTATGTACTACATGTACCATTTCTCATGATACTGCTGACAATGTCATAATCATGATAACAATATAACGATTTTTAAAGTGATAATAATCACATTATATATGTTGAAAAAAATTGAATGCTTAGCCTAACCTTTGTTATATAACCATTTTCATCGTTTAGCAAGAAATGTTTTCGCATATTAAACGATAGTTTCGGCAAGAATCGTCCATTTTCCCGCAATAATCGAGAACGTATTAAATACTGGCTGCAAAAAAAAAAGAAAAATTAATGAAACAAATAAAACCAAAGATCAAAAAAAGAAAGTTGAAAAATGCTGCTCACCAATGAATAATTAGAAAAAATATGGGTGTATTTGCAGAAAAAATATTAATTTTGTCAACTCCGATAGCAGAGTGACGACGACGTAGGGTAGTCGAAGTGACGCAGAAGAAAAGTCGGTTTATCCACAACACCACTATATTAGCCAACGAACGAACAACAAACCAACAAAAGCAGGGGTATTTATACAGGGAGTAGAGCACAATAAAAAAACACTAAACGACGCAATCCGATCTATATGCAGTCACAAAGAACATTACAGAAAATTCTGCACAACAATCTGTAATAG